TAATAAGTTAAAACTGTTTTATATTAATTTTAACACATTCTGGATTTTAGTCCTATCTTGTATGCCAGATTTCCATAGGAATCATTTCTCTTTTTTAACATTTATTTATTTTAATTGGGTATATATGACAGCAGAATTCATTTTGATTCATCATACACAATTGCAACATAACTTTTCATTTCTTTGGTTGCACATGATGTAGCATCTGACCATATGTGCAGTCATACAAGTACCTACAGTAATGATATCCATCTCATTCCACCATCTTTCCTGCCCCCATACCCCTCCCCTTCACTCTCCTCCCTCATCTTTGCCCAATAAAATTCCTCCATTTTTCCCATGCCTCTTCATTATGGATTAACATCCATTTATTAGAGAGAATATTTAACCTTTGGCTTTTTGAGATTAGCTTACTTTGTTTAGCATAATATTCTCCAATTGTATCCATTTACCTGAAAATGCCATGATTTTTATTCTCCTTTAATTGTGAGTAATATTTCATTGTGTATATATACCACAGTTTCTTTATCAATCGGTCTATTGAAGGGTGTCTACATTGGTTCCACAGTTTAGCTATTGCAAATTGAACTGCTATAAACCCTGATGTGGCTGCGTTAATATAGTATGCTGGCTTTAAGTTCTTTGGGTATAGACTGAGAAGTGGGATAGCTGGGTCAAATGGTGGTTCCATTCCAAGTTTTCTAAGGAATTTCCATACTGCTTTCCAGATTGGTTGCACCAATTTGCAATCTCACCAGCAATGTATGAGTGTGCCTTTTCTCTCACATCCTGACCAACACTTATTGTTGCTTGTATTATTGATGACTGCCATTTTGACTGGAGTGAGATGAAATCTTAGAGTAGTTTTCATTTGCATTTTTCTAATTACTAGAGATGTTGAACATTTTTTTCATATTTATGTTGACTGATTATATATCTTCTTCTGAGTAGTGTCTGTTCAGCTTCTTAGCCCATTAATTCATTGAGTTGCTTGTTTTTTGGGTGTTAAGTTTTTGAGTTCTTTATATATCTTGGAGATTAGTACTCTATCTGATGTGTGTGTGGCAAAAATTTGCTCCCATACTGTAGGCTCTTCTTTCACCTCATTGATTGTTTCTTTTGCTGAGAAGCTTTTTAGTTTGAATCTATCCAATTCATTGATTCTTGATTTTATTTCTTGCGCTTTTGGAGTCTTGTTAAGGAAGATGAGTCCTAATCTGACATGATAAAGATTTGGGCCTAGTATTTCTATACATCAGTGATGAATCCTCAGAAAGAGAAATTAGGAAAACTACTCCATTCACAATTGCTTCAGAGAAATGAAATAAAATAAAATACTTGGGAATCAACTTAACAAAAGAAGTGAAAGATATCTACAATGAAAACTACAGAATACTATAGAAAAAAAATTGAAGAACACCTTAGAAGATGGAAAGATCTCCCATGCTTTTAGATAGGCAAAATTAATGTTGTCCAAATGGCCATACTACCCAAAGTGCTATACAGATTCAATGTGATTCCAATTAAAATCCCAATATCAGTCCTTAAAGAAATAGAAAAAGCAATCATGAAATTCATATGGAAAAATAAGAGACCCAGAATAGCCAAAGCACTCCTTAGCAAGAAGAGTGAAACAGGAGGTATCACAATACCAGAGTAAACTATACTACAGAGCAATATTAACAAAAACAGCATGGTATTGGCTCCAAAATAGACTGGTAGAACAATAGTTCAGAATAGAGGACACAGAGAAACACCCACATAAATACAGTTATCTCATACTGAACAAAGGTGCCAAAAACATACATTGGAAAAAAGATAGCCTCTTCATCAAATGGTACTGGGAGAACTGGAAATCCATATGCAGCAAAATGAAACTAAACCTTTATCTCTCATCATACACAAAACTCAACTCAAAGTGGATCAAGGACCTAGGAATTAGACCAGAGACCCTGCACCTATTAGGGAATTATTTCTCTTAATTATGCATTTGTCCTAATATTTTTCCTAGATTTAAGTGACCTTTGTTGCATATTTAACATTATGAAACTTGTTGAGAAAGTCTCCATTAATGGTGTGCACCTCATTCATGATAAATACCCAGTCTTATACACTTTCAAAGTTCTCTAATGTCTACATTTTTTTTTTCAGTCCAATGGAGATTCTTCATTAATTTTATAATTTAGATTCATAAACTCATTTACTCCTGGAAATCTGCTATATATTTATTATAGTTCAGTGCTCACAGAAATTTGCAGTATATTTATTATCACCTGGCAACCATATTTCAGGTACAGAAACGACATGGGTTTTAAAGAATGGTAAAATTATATTTCTTATCTCCCAGAAATCAGCATAAGTCTTTAGCTTCAAAAATGTTTCAAATATTAATTTTGGATTCAAGTCTACAATAGTTGTTCAAAATATGAATTGTTTTAAAAAAATTTTGGTTAGTGTTTCTCTAATTCTTATTCTTATCTGAAGTATATTTAATATATGATACTTCTATTCATTCATATAATATGGTAAGGTTGTCTGTAATTTTATCACTAGAGGTTAATTATAATCTATGAGAAAAATAAATTGTCTATTATATTTTAGGTCTATTACTCTGATAAAATACCCCTCAGAATATTTGTAAAAATATAAAAATACTACTTTTGTCATTATTTTAACAACACTTATTGGCAAATAAACTGAAAATATTCATGTGAATTCTGGAAAATAGGTTGAATTTTCAGTAATTATAATTTTATTAGGAGATATTACATCAGAAAATAATAAGTAAAAAATAATTTTCTCTTTCCAAATGCAATGTATTATTCTGATTCAGAAACGACTTCACCATAAAACCCATAATTATTTTACAGGGTCCATTATAGACTTGCTTGCATATTGGGTGATAAAATTGTTACTTTTGAACTCTGAATACTCTGAATGAGCCACTTACTGAGTGTCGTTAGTTCTTTCCATAGTGTCTTCAATTTAGTGATGATCTAAAAAAAGTGGATAACATTCAAAGCATTAAAAATTACTGAAGTATTTTAAAGAAATATATTCACATTTTTATTAAATATAAATTAGAAAATCCTTCTTTCACTGAGTTCACTATTTCCCACCTTATAATAGCTTATTGGACATGTGAAACTCTGTTTTTTTGAAAATTAATATGAAAAATTTTGTCTTTACAACATTAGGGAATAAATTATTAAAATCTAAAATAACCTCCATACCCATATGTCAGTGACAATAATTATGTTAGCTTTAGAGCACAGTTAAAAGTTGTCTATTGATTATAAAGAAATATCATTGAGATTAACCTCAGGGTAAATCTTTACTGATTCCCAATCCAAGATGCATGGTTCCTAAAACACCAGTACCCAAACAAAATTAGTTAAATAGGGATGTATGTTGAGATTCTGAATTAAATCAAATGGTCATAAATAAAGTCTATTTAAGGACTATCTTGATTAGTTGTACACTTAAATCTCTTTTGTATCAAATCTTGTTTACATAAGGACTATAATGGTTAGGAGAAAAGATTCATACTAATGATTTGAAATTCAAGTTAAAGAGAGATTTGAATAGTGAATTGGATTTCTGAAGAATGTAGTGTGATTAACCAATGCTACTTTCCTTCTTCTTCTTTTTCTTTTTTTACTTATTGCAATGAATCTGACCAAATTCTATAAAATACTTCTCTGAAACTCTGCTATTACATTTCTTTATTTAACCTATGCATCACAAGACAACTAGGGAAATAAACCATTTATTCAAGTATGACTGGCATGTAAATGTTTATTGTACACAACTCCATGATTTGGAGATAAGTATATTTCCATGAAACTCTCATCAAACAAAATTGATACATGTATTCAAATATGACACAATATCAGAGTATCATGTACAATTTTTATGTTTTTATATATTAGTTCAATATCCAGGATATATACAGAACTCAAAAAAACTTAACACCAAAAATCAAATAATCCAGATAACAAATGGGAAAAGGAACTAAACAGACATTTCTCAAAAGAAGAAATACAAATGGCCAACAAATACATGAAAAAAAATGTTTAGCATTCCTAGCAAATCAAAAGTATACTGAGATTTCATCTCTCTTTATTCAGAATGGAACAACCAAGAATACTAATAGAAATAAATGCTCTCAAGAATGTTGGGAAAATGTACACTCAAACATTGTGAGTGGGACTGCAAATTGGTATAACCACTTATGGAAAGCAGTATGAAAATTCCTCAAAAGATAGGAATGAAATCACCATATGACTCACTCCTTCATATTCTCCCCCAAGAATTAAAATCAGCATTTTATAGTGACATAGACACATTAATATTTATATCACAATACTAAATATTAACTCACAATAGCCAAGTTATGAAACCAACCCAGGAACCAAACAACAGATGAATGGATCGAGAAAATGTAGTATATGTACACCATGAAATTTTACTCTGCCATAAAAAAAAACAAATAAATGTATGACACATGCTGGTAAAAGGATGGAACAGAAGAACATCAATTCTAAGTGAAATAAACCAGACTCAGAAAGCAAGGGTCAAAAGTTTTCTCTCTTATGGGAAACTAGAGGTCAGTAAGGAGAAAGGCAGGGGCGATTAGATTCTATGAAAATAGAGGGTAGGTCAATTGAGTAAAGTAAGGGGACTAAGGATATAAGTGGAACAGGAAAAGGGAGGAACTGCAGAATGAAATTGACCAAATTACATTAGCTACATATATGAATACACTACAGAGAATGCCATTTTATGCATACCTGTAAAGCACTAATTTATAATAACCAAAAAATAAATAGAAGGAAGACCAGTACAACAGAGAAAGGGGAACAGGTACAGGTCATAGTGGAGGGAAAGAGAAAACACTGGGGACTGAAATAGAGTGAAATATATTCCATTTATGCATAATTATGTCAAATGGAACCCTATTATTATGTAGGTAATTTCACTCAAACACTATTAACATTTTAATAATTTAATATTTTACTCTGAAGTGACTGAGTAAAATTCATTTTACTCTGAAGAGAGTGCCTCTTCATAATTCTTTTCATAACATTTGTTACTTCCTTGTTTCTTAGGCTATAAATGAAAGGATTTAATAAAGGAATGACTAGAGTATAAAAAATGGCAATTGGTTTTTCTGTGTCTCCTTCATTAACCGAACTTGGTCTAATATACATGAAGAGAAGAGAACCATAGAATATCGACACAGAAAGGAAATGGGATGCACAAGTAGATAGAGCTTTGCCTCTTCCCTCTTTAGATTTCATTGTGAATATAGTGAAAAGGATATAGAAATAAGAGACTAGGACAATAGTAATAGTGAAAATTTGAATTGATCCTGCCAAGATGAATATCATCAATTCATTGATGTAAGGATCAACACAGGAGAGTCTGTATAATGGAAGAACATCACAAAAAAAGTGATTGATCTGGTGAGACTCACAGAATACCAACCTAAATAAAAGCCCAACTTCAACCATGGGATGCAAGATTCCAGCTATGTAGGCTCCTGCGGTCATCTGAATGCAGAGTTTCTTTGACATCAGGGTGTGGTACTGCAGTGGTCTGCATATGGCCACATAGCGGTCATAGGCCATTGCTGCCAGAAGAAAGCAGTCTGTAGTCTCAGCAAAACAGAAAAAATAGAATTGTGCCATGCATTCATAGAGGGAAATCCTTCTGTCTTCAGAAAAGAAGTTCTGTAACATCTTGGGATTGATGGCACAGGAACAGCAGGAATCCATGAGAGCCAGGTTGCCCAGGAAGATGTACATTGGTGTGTGAAGACGGCGCTCCATGTAAATCAAGGCCACCAACCCTAGATTCCCTACTATGGTGACCAGATAGATGGTAGAGAACACCACAAACAGAAGGGCTTTCAGGTCTGAGTTTTCTGTAAGTCCCATGAGGATGAATTCATTTGTACTGGAGTGATTTGCCACAGGCATTCCTGACTTCTTTGCTGAACTATGTTGTAGAGAAATTCAATTGACATCATAAGTAGAAATGTCTAACTCACCCCTCTAATTATCATATGTATCAAGGGTATCATCTTTTCTTCAAATCACCCTATGCTCTCTCCTGAAAATTGTTAGGTCTTGTGAGAATAAATATAGCATGATTTTTGCACACAGGATTTGCCTTGAAATTTCTCATGTACTCATTGTGTGAAAAAGTTCTTTCTACCTAGGTCCGTGGAATGTCTCATAGTTGGTTTAATTAACTTGACATTTCTGAGTTAAAATATATGTTCTCATGGTAACTTTCTTCTTAGCAAATTAAAAAATATTGTACATATTTCTTTATGGAATTGATTCAATATTTTAAAGTAATCGGTCTTTTGATATTTTAAACAACCAATAGGCTAATTATTTAAAGCTGTGCAAAATTACAGTGAGTTTGAGAAACAGTTTCTCTAGCTTATTAAACTTTCTCAGATAATTTTATCTAGGAATATTTTATAAAAATTTCTAACTATTTTAATAGAGTAGAAACATAAAAATCTTTAAAATTCTTAATAAATTATAAAATCTTTTTATATTCATTTAAACACATTTTGAATCCTACCCTTATTTTTTTCTACCATTCCTTGTTTATTATCCACTTGTCCTAATATTTTTCTCTAGTTTTATGTGTACTCTATGCATATTTAATGTTGTGAGACTTGTTGAGAAAGTCTCCATTCATAGTGTACATATTCTTAATGAATATTATCTTATATGTAGTCTCATGCACTCTCAAATTGTTGTATAGAAACCAATGTCTATATTTTTGTTGAGTCTCATAGAGATTCTACATTTTTTGATTATTTAAATTTAGAAACTGAATTACTCCCAATCTGCTATATATTTATTGAATTTCAATGCTCACCTCACTTTACTTTATATTTACTATTACTTGGCAACAATATTTCAAATATAGAAACAACATAGGTTTTAAAGAGTAGTAAGATTTTCTTTCTCCCAGAAATTTCTACAAGTTATTGGGTTCACATATTTTAGATATTAATTTTTGACAAGAGTCTATAATAGTTGTTAAAATTTTCATTGTTTTAAAAACACATTTTGGCTATTTCTTTGCTTCTTATCTTCTCTATACTGAATTTCATAAACTGTTTTGCTCAAATAATGTGATAAGGTTCTAGAGTTTGATTGCTAGACACTTATAATCAATGAATAAGTTGCCCATTATATTTGAAGTAGACTACACTTTTAAAATATCCCTCAAAATTTTATTATTTTGAACAAAATGTAACAATATAAAATACAGTTCTGTCATTACTTTTTGCAACACATATTGGTAAATATACTGAAAATATTTATGTGTACTTGGGAAAAATAGTTTTTTGTTTTCAAAAATTATCATTTTATTTAGGAGATGTTGTATCACAAAATAATTAGTGAAAACAAATTTTCTCTTCTCCAATTCAAAGTATAATTATTCCTCTGAATCAGAAATGACTTTTAATATATGACTCAGAATTATTTTACCAGGTCCTTTATAGACTTACCTGTAAGTTTGGTGATAAAACTATGGTACTTTTGAACTCAGAATACTCTGAATGAGCCACTTACTGTGTGTCATTTGTTCTTTCCATAATGTCTTCAATTTAGAGACAAATTTTAAAAAATGAATAAAATTCAAATACCATAAAAATTACTAAAGTATTTTAAAGAAATATGTTCAAGTTTATATTATAAATAAATTAGTAATCTATTCTCACACTGAGTTCACTGATGAACATTTTACCATAGTTCTTGGACACCGAATGTTCTACATTTTAGGGAAATCAAGATTTAAAATGTGGTCTTTAAAACATTGGGGAATAAATTATAAAAATCTAGGGCAGTTTTTCTATTCATAGGTCAGAGTAAACAATTAGGTTAGCCTTGGGGTACAGTTAAAGTTGTCCATTGATTCTAAAGGGATTTTATTGGCGCTGACATCAGGGTAATTCTGCACAGATTCTCAGTCTGAGAGGCAAGTTTCCCAAAACACCAGTAGCCAAAGCGACATTAATGAAAAAGGAATAAAGGTTAAGATTCTGGGGTTCAATCAAATGGCCATCACTAATGTCTGTTTATAGATTGGATCATGATTTTTTGCACATTTAATTCTTTCTTTGTGTTTTTTTTTTCACTCTCTCTTTCTCAAATCTTATTTACATGAAAACTATAATGGGCAGAAAAACGATTTGTACTGATTACTTGAAGTGAAAGTTAAAGAGATATTTGAAGAGAGAGTTGGATTTGTAGAGGCAAAGTGTAATGTGATCAAATAGTGCTGCTTTCCTTTATTTCATGTCTTACAATGAATTTGACCAAATACTTTAGATTCATTCTCTGAAACTCTGACTTTGTGTTCCCTTATTTAATTTATGCATCATAAGATGACTAGAAAAAAAGTCACTTATAAAGTATGATTGGCTTGCAAAGCTGTCAAGGTTTATTTTATGTATCTTCAAGAATTTGGAGATAAGTATACTTTTGAAAACTCCTATCATACATAATGGAAACAGATATTGAAACCTGACAGAACCCAATAACACATGAATTTTTATGTTTTATGCATCAGCTAAAAAATTAAAAATAAAATTTTATCTTTTTCAAAAAATAGGGAACTTTAAGCAATGTTTCAATACCTGTTTATTTTGAACTCTTGGTTTTAGAGATTCAGCCAATGAGTGGCAGGCCACATTACTCTGGGCCTAGAGGCAGAAGGACCTAGTGACTGGGAAACAGAGTGAGAGGGCAAGGGGTTGAAGAGAAGATGAACCTTTCCAGAGCATGTCAACAGTGACCTACCTCTTCTAGTCATGTCCCACCTGCCTACACTTACCACCCAGTTAGTCTGTTAAATGTAGGATGGACTAATTAAAATTAGGTTAATTTTGTCACATTCCAATCATTTCATCATTGAATATTCTCACATTAACACAAAGGACATCTTAAATCCAAGCCATAACAAAGCACAAAACACATCTACAGAATAAAGAATAAACCAAGAAAGCCAGAACATGGGAATATGCTAGAAACAGAGGATTTATACTTGTTACAAATTAGTGTTACAGATAAGAATTTTAAAATCTTGATTAAAACTGACATTCAGTTTCTAACTTCAAAATTGAATGAAACTTTTTGAATGGCCACTGGCTTATCAGATTACCACCCTAGCATTTGTTACTAGCTTAAGATCTTAAGGGAAACAACAACTAAAGCTAAATTCCCATCAATTTAAAGGATAGTGGCATAACATCACAAATGACCACTGTGTGACAAATTCAGGATTCTAGATTCCATAGAGATATAGAATTGAATTAGCTTTCATACTTTATGTGAATTTACACTACTGTAGAGAGAGGCAATTTTGTTTAGGTTAACCTAGATTTGTGAGAAACACTTTTGCAGAAGGTTTACTCTTATAAACATGGTGGCATTTAGGGAACTATTTTCCTTTCAGAAATAACAACTTTACAAATGAAACACTGGGCTAAATTTTAAAATATGGGCTTTGGTTTAGCTCACATTTTCTACATATGCTCATGGTATAGGTTTAGGACTTCCTCCATCCGTCCTACAGATTTCTAACCAAAATAAATTTTTTAAAGTTAGTATGTCTCAAACTTCAAAATACCCAACCACTTCAAAGTTAGGAGAGCATTGCATTATCCCATGAAGCTGCATATTTTATCATATGTACCAAAAAAATTGACAATGCTCATTCCAACATTCATCTGTTACAAAATTTATTTTATACAGCTTATACCCCCCAGCATGTATTAACCTCTGACATGTAACTCCCTATAAAGATAAAGCAAAGACAAGAAAAGTTTACTGTTTTAGAAAAAAGGTACACATTCAGTTATTATCTTCAAACATCATTGCACTTTAACTTCCACAATTTGGCTAAACATTCATGAAATAATCTACAAACTACTTTCAACAAATAACACTTTTAGGCAGACATGACTGTGCTAAATTCTTTATTATGTATGAACTAAACAAAAATTAAATGGTGAAAATAGAGTTGGGGGGTATTGTGTCTTCTCCAAACTGCAAGGAACCAAAAAAAGTGTGGTGGAATCTCCTTTGAAAGTCACCACTCTTGTGGTTTGCAAATGTCCGCTTCAATATCTGCCTGTGTTTATGACTGGTTTGGTGATCTACTGTGTGTAGATTTCTTCTGATAACTTTATGGAATGGATCAATAAAGATAACCTGAATGAATTTTTATGTGGAATCTTCAAGGACCTTGTTAGAATTCAGGACTCACAGAATACACACAGTTGCTTCTAGCTTGCTCCACAACAACAGGCTTTCAAACCAACTTTACCTTGTTAACAGCATGATGGACAGTCTTGCCATACATTACACCCTTAGGAACTGGGCATTTGCAGACACTATGGCATGTATGCATCCTGCAGATGACATAACCCTGCCTGGCCTTGTATCCCAGTCTGTACACTTTATCTGGGGGAATTTGGTAAAGGGCCCTGTGAAGCAGAGAGCAGGTGGTACTGTCAGCAGGGGACCTACAGAGAAGAGCACATCATATCAGACTGCTCCTTCCTCCACAACTCCAAGATGTACTTGTATGCCACCATCGTGACTTACCTGATGACTGCTATCTGTTAAAAAGGAAGAAGCATCTCTTTCCTGTCCAGATATTTTTTTGTGGATCTCTCTAAATACAAAAGAAATTCATTTCCCAGAAACTTCCAAAAACATCACTTCTTTTGTCCCATTGGTCCCAAATAAATCACATAATCTTCTATCAAATTTGTTTGGGAATCAATGTTCATAAGGACTAGACACGAGTTATTTGGAAATGTATGGCATAAATTATGGTATTATTAGAAGAGGGAAAGGGAATCAAGAAATGTACTTTTGATAGCTGAAAATGTCCATAAACATAGAATGTACACTCTCCATTCAATTAAGTTTCTCAA